CATAGGCCAGAGTCTAACAGGAGGGCAGCTGGTAATCTGGAAGACTCTCTTGCCCTGTGAAATCAACTCCACAGCCCTCTGTGTATCCAGCATCACACTTTATAAAGAGGGAAACTATGATGTAGTGACTGTGGAGAGATGTAAGGTGAACCATAGACAGCTTTCAAATATCGCATAAGCTAAAGACACCACAGGAACCTCAGAGTACTGATGGGGACCGTCAGAAGTCTGTCTTTATTGGTATGTCAGCCACACATTGTGAGGGCAACTTACTGACCTGAAAGAAACACATTTCAAACCAGTGTGTGCTCCGGCTAATTGACTAATCAGGCCAAGAAAGACCCAGTTGACTTATAGATGAATTCAGATCAGAGACGATGCTGACAGGGCACAGAAAGACAGATTTAATTTATTTACTCTTTGTTTTCTAGTTTTGTAATTTTAATTAAAGTGGGTAAAAATCTTGTCTAAGCAGTTTTTTTTTTTCCCTCCCTAGTATGAAAGGTGTTGATGCGTTGTCGTCAGAGTTGGGAAGATAAAGACAGGAAAAGGATTGGAATTTGGTGTGAATTAACATATCACAGGGCTCTCGTACGTGTAAGAGGCGAGGAAACAAACACATGTGTTAATTTGACTCCCAGGGCAGGGGGATGCTGTCAAGGCATGTGGGCTGGTGTGGCCAAATGCTGTTGATTCCAAAAATGTAATTTCATTTGATGGATTTCATTGTAATTAACACAGGGAGTTGCATCAACTCAGAACTCTTAGCATGGTGTCTTGGGAGAAGTTAGGAAATTCATGTACTTACAAGATAGGATTCATATCCTGCCGAGGGCTTATGACGCTAATAGGTCCTGGGGATCTTCTGGGATTGTGTCTTCATACTTCCAGCTAGAATTTCTGCATTGCCCACACATGCGTGGCTACCGGGAGCATGTTATTCTATATTTGCTGGAACGTGGGAGCCATTTCAGCACAGGGGCCCTGCATTCTTAGCCATGGCGAAGCCCTGACTTCATAGCCAGAGAGACTCAGCAGTTGCTTTTCATGAGGACACCTGGTTATGCAGACCTGCTCATGACCATCTTTGACATTCAGCAGTTCCCCAAAGCACAGATTTCATGAGCACACTACACATGCGGGGAGGGCTTGCTATATATTTTTGAGAGTTTAAGCGAAGCCTTTTGAAATTCATGTGGACGTCAGGTTTAAAATGTATTTATTTATTTATTTTTTTTTAAAAAAGGAAAAATATCCAACAGAAGACAAGGAGATACCATTCCATTTGGCATCTTGGAAGCAGACCAGAGCTGCCAAGCTTCTAGGGTGGGACCTTTCTACAGGTTGAGCTCAGCTCATAACATGAATACTGTAAAAGCTGTGTGTATGCCCTTTCAGATCTCTCCTTGGGAAACTAATTAGGAGAATAATAAAAGACAAGACCAACTCTTGTCTTGCTTGTTGGGGATATAAAAAAACAGTAGTTCTAATTAGCAATAATTAAAATTTAATTAAGAAGCTCTTCACAATCCGCCGCCTCCTCCCCAGGCTGGCGCTGGCCCACCCTTGCTGGAGGAGCTGTTTTTATTCCCGTGGTGCTGAATCACGGCTTACTCAGAGGCGGCGGATCGCAGCTTAGCCAACCCTGGCTAATCGCCACTCCCTTCTAAGAAGGGCCGACACGTAGTCCACATTTTTAGAACACAAGCTATTATTTTCCTTAATTTTCTGCTCATGAGTTGTGATTCTTTACCCCTCTTTATGAGCCGATTACAGATGCCGTTGTCCCATCCCCCCCTCTAACGTTATATCACGTCCATTCATTTCTACCCGTGCTGGGACAAGAGGACAGGGGTGCCTACCAAAAATACAAGTATTTGAACCCTAATTTCAATGTCTGTGCTTAGGAGCAACAGAAACTTAGCTTAGGACTAAGTCACTGGCAAAACCCTGAATTTAAAAAATGTTAAATATTTGAGGCTATTAAAAAGATAAAATAGCACATTACAGAGGAGAGTCAGAGAGAGGCAATTTGGCGTTTAATGTTTCTTATAAGCTCAGGTGGAATTTAAGTGTAAATTTTAATTAGAATATTTCAGATTGCAAAAAATGACTGATCCTTTATGAGGATCTAACGGTATATCCTGTGTTCTATAGATTTTATTCCAGTAGAAAAATGAATTCCAGGTCTGACTCTGTCCTAGTTTTGGGCATGAAGATTAATCTCTCAGTTTATAGAGAGGTAAAACCAGGAAAGCCCAAACCCCAATATTCGATAGTTCATTATGAGCAAAAGAAAAAGGAAATAATCAAAAACAGAGGGAAATTAGTTTTTTAAAAGCCACTAGACTGCGAAGCATAACCCCGGCTCTTTAATTATTAAGGGACGGTTCTGAATCTGCTCCATTATCTTAATTATGTTTCTGGAGCAAACATTATCTCAATGTGAGAAAAGATGACACGGCACTGAAGGTAAGGCCGGCAGATGTTACGTGGGTAACAAGCCAGGAGGCCCACATTCTGGTAATTTCTTGCCCACTAGACATGTTCTCATTAATCTGTGATTAATAGGATTTGAGTATGGTGATGATCTATTGTCTGTCTTTGTGGAGCACCATGGATGGAGTCATTTGTCAGCTCGGCTTTTGTGTGACTATTTAATAGCAAAGAGGGAGAGAGAAAAGACGCTAATCTTCTAATTGGCGTCTAAAGAGAAGAGCTAGAATACTGTCTGTTTAGAAATAGCCTGGTGTAATTCCTATGCCCGAAGAAGCAAATGTGGGCTATATGTATCCTTTATGCCACGGTGCCTTGAAGAGCAAAAAAGATGGGGCCGTAAGAAAGAAAATACAGCAATAAAACAATCCTTAGAGATCACACAGTAACAGCTATTAACCTAGTTATGAGGCTTTGTCAATGGTAATGACTTGCTAAGAAAGGGACAGAAGAAAGAAACTATTTTTGGTTAAAAATAAGTTGCCCAGATAGACCCTTCCCCCACTAAAATACACACACACACACTCACACACACACACACACACACACACACACACACACACACAAACATACCCACCACACATACCACATACACACACCACACACACACCACACACACATATACATAACACACTACACACCACAGATACACACAGCACACACACCACACACACTCTATAGTACACACACCACACACAGAGACACACTACACACCACACCACATACACACACATGCACATACATACACACTACACATGCCACACACTACATATCACACACACACACACCATATATACCACATCACATACACATATATACAGCATACACAGCATACATACCTTACACACAGCACACATACACACATACACACATTCACCACATACACCCACACACACACACACATACACACACACACAAACTATACACCACACACACATACATACCACACACACACACACCACACCATACACACACATACACACACCACCACAGTACACATATACACCACACAGCACACACACACACACACACACTACACACACACACACACACATACACACCACACTACACATACAACATTCCATATACACATATATACTACACACACACCAAACACACACATACCACACTACACATACACACCACACAGCACATACACACACACACACACAGCACACACACACAGCACACACACACAGCACACACACACTCACACATACAAGCCACCAGCATCACTTCCAGCAGCACGGACATGCTGTGATGATAAAAATGTTAATCAGTGGACACAGCAGCGCTTTCGAGCTGGCAGACGGGGTGTGGTACCCGTGCTTACACTCGCCCCGTCTCTATAACTTTAAAGTCTTCCTATGTTTCATCCTTTCATGGTATCTCCGTTACTGTTCTGTGTGCTGGAAACGAATAGGACAGGGCCTCACTGGAAAGCCAGGAATAATTAGCTCCCACAGAGCAGGTAGAGAACAGCTGATCAGCCCTCTGGAGAGAGCACCTGGCAGAAGAGGGATGCTAACATGGACCAGGAGCAAGGGTGCCCAGGATAACAGCCCGGGGTCCTAGCCCAGCACCTTGTGAAGCAGGCATGGTGGTAGAGACAGGAAGGTCAGATGTTCATTCATTCTTAGCTATACATAGTGAGTTGGAGGCTAGCCTGAGCTACAGGAGCCCCTCAATCAATCAATTACCCGGATTTGCATAAGAAAAAAATGTGGCCAGGTTCTGCTTTTGCCCTTGAGGTATTCTGGCACTGTTGTGTACTATTCTGGAATGAAGAAAAGATGCTTTTCTAGGCGGGTGGATTCTCAGGATCTCAGCTAGCTTGGGGAATAGCCTTCTGCAGAGGCAGTTTTCAGTGAAACAGTTCTCTTTTATTGGGGGTAACAAGGGCTATATAAACCTCAGACAGTGGGTAGGAGTTTTCAGGGTGAGAAGGGAAGTTAAACCTGTAATCTGGCCACCAGGCCATGTGAATACCTCAAGGGTGGCAGAGGTGGGGGTCATACACTCACCCACGTCTCTGTAACATTAAAGTCTTCCTAAGTTTCATCCTTTCGTGGTATCTCCGTTACTGTTCTGTGTGCTGGAAATGAATAGGACAGGGCCTCACAGGCTATGAATGTTGGGGCATGCCGATCCAGACCAAGGAGGGAACAGTTGTAACTCCTCCCAGGCTCAGGACGAGATTTTCTGGGCTTGGAGACTTCTCAACCCCACTCTTTTTTTTTTTTTTTTCCCGAGATCAACCCCACTCTTTTAGCGCTGGACTGGCTACCTCAGGTGTTTCTGGCCCCACAAAACAAAACAAAACAAAACAAAACAAAACAAAACAAAACAAAACAAAA